TTGATGACTCTGATATACTATTTTGGCTTCTGTATAATAAAAGGAAATACATTTTCTTATTTCATAGCATTATCAAGGTCACATACATGCTCTCCCTTCTCTCTCTCTCCCCCACCTCTTTCTCTCTGTCTCTCTCTGACACACACATACACACACACCCCAATAAATCACCAGGAAGAAACAGTAAAAACTTCTATATAAACCCCTAATTAAGAGCATTTCCATATAAGCATATAATGTCCCAGTTGGAAGGATGCTTATAAATAATGTACTCTAACCCCTTCATTTTGTGTATGAAAAAAACAGCGGCCTAGAGATGTTAACAAGATTAACATCTACAGCCCCAAATGAATTAATGGATCATAAATAATCATCAAAGGCAGTTAACATCATGAAAAGAGGGACAACAAGTCCAAACCAATTAGAATCCCTGAAGGTGGGATTCAGGCATGAATACAGTTTAAAACTCCCCAGGTAATTACAATGTGCAACCAAGTTCGAGAACCACAGCAGGGTAAAAGAGGTTTTTTTCAAATTAATTTTGTTTTGCACATGTCTATTAATATTCTGGAATAGTGTTTTCTTTCCTGCACTGAGATAAATTTCTAAAAGTGAAATTATTTAAGATGTCGGATATGTATTATCAAATTACATTTTAGGAATTTTGAATAAATACATATTCCCATTTGCCAATTGTATGTGTACTAAACATAATCCATTAATCTGTGCTGGCATAGTGGTTAAGAGCTGTGTCTGCTAACCAAAAGGTCGGCAGTTTGAATCCACTAGGCGCTCATTGGACACTCTATGGGGCAGTTCTACTCTGTCCTATAGGGTCTCTGTGAGTTGGAATCAACTCAACAGCAATGGGTTAAGTGGGTTAAATCAACAAATATTTATAGAGTAACTTACTATGGGCCAGCACTGGGGTGGCATCAGTAAAAATAAATAACGCAAACAAAAATTCCTGACTTCATGGAGGTTACATTCTAAGGGGGAGTAGACAGACAATAAACAAATAAGTAAAATCATGTAGTATATTATATAGGGTGACGAGTACTAACGTGAAAAAGAAGACAAAGGAAAGGATAGGGATTCAGCAGTTGGCCTGTAGAGAGTGGTCAGGAATGTTCTTATTAAAACGTGATATTTAGGTAAAGAGAGAAAGGAGGGG